AAAAAGCATATAAGCACTAATGTATACTGGCTTATGGTTAGAACATGGCATTAAGTTTCAAAGAGATTAATTTTTTTATTTAAATAATGTTTATTATTTTTTAAAGTTATTTTTTTAAAGTTTTTTTCTTTTAAAAAAATTTTTTTTAAAAATTTTTTTTTTCTTTAAAAAATAATTTTAAAAAAATTTTTAAATATATGTTCTTATATTATGTTTCTATATACTTGCAAATTATGAATACAGAACTATTTGTATGTATCGGTTAGAGGTTGGACCCGTTGAGAAAATCCCTACCCGGGTATTATTAAATTACCCGGGTTATCTGGGTAACTTATTATGATCATATATCAACAATTTCTACCCGGGAGTATCGGTAATATATATTAATGCTAAAGCTTGCAAATTATGAATTATGGAAATATTTGTACATATCAGTGTATATATTAATGCTGAAATAAATGAAATAATATCTATAATAATGAAATGATACTAAACATGGGGAATTGAAGCTGCGACTCTTGATTGGCTATCTGCAAACCATTCCGGCTAAAAAACGGCTTGGGTAAAAATCGGCTAGCTACAAAACGGCTCAGCTAAAAATCGGCTCAACTAAAAATCAGCTCAGCTCCATTATAGTGAGCCATAGCCGAGCCAAAGCCATCACTAATTAGATGTTCCCGGCAAAATGAGGCCAATTTTATCATTTTTTTTACTCGCAAGCTAATTGGTTAAAAATGAAGATCATCACTGGAAAAGGAAACCAGATCACATGCTTTTTGTGTGGCATTTCCTTTTTGGTAAGATTTTCATTCCTCTACTTATAACTTTACCTATACCTTAGCCGGTAACAGAAAATTTTCTATATGAACTTTACCTAGACCACATGACGGGAACATCTAATATCAGTTTCTGGGGTCCTCCTGTTCCCGGCTCGTCTTTTACGTTGCTTGACTATCCACCTTTCCAATTACTTCCGAACATGTTTGACCAATCAGAAAAGCTAGCCTATGTTTCAGACCGGGCGGATTTCAATACAGATCCGTACCCACCCAATTAAGGGTTTGATTGGTCTGACGAATGATTAGAGTGATTGTTTTGTTTTATTGAGTTTCATTCTGCATTATTATGCACAAGGATTTAATGAATACGCATCAAACCCATTAGATTATCGAATTATTATCCCGAACCTATTGAAACATGTCATTTGTCATTGTTGTGTAGTATTAAAAATAAACCTTCCGTCTCAAAAATGATATAGTTAATTGTTTAATGAGCTGTCTGTCAGATAGTTGCATTGTCAAATAACCTGTTCCATCATCAAAAAGTTTTAGGGTACGGAGTTCTCTCTTCTGCATAGAAATACATATTGGCCCATATGGGCCCTGTATAAAGCTGATTTAAAGGTAGTTAATTTAGAGTTAGGATAGGCCCAGGATTAAAGAAATTTTAAAGTTATGCCAAAATTATGATTTTTGATTGAGCACGAAAGCATTTTAGGCAAAGTTATTTTGTCGATCATGATCGACGAACTGGTGCGAGCCGATAAGCTATACTCCGTTACGAAAATCAAGAATTACTAACAATGTCCAAATAATCAGTAGCGATAGACAATATAAAATAAAAATTAGTTAATCTCACTCCATCAAAACCTTGAGTGTTATTAATAAATAATACTAAGTCACTAATGAATTTCCTGGCTGTTTATTAAAGAATTTTAATTTATTTATATCAATGTAGATTTAATCTTTATTACCTACCTTAAACTTTAAATTATTATTCATTTTATAACGTAACAGTCGATTAAATTTGCCAAATTGTTTGTTAAAAGATACAAATGGGTCACTGCCATCATTAGAATTTGCGCCATTATTAACAAGGTCATTTGGGCCAATTGCTATATAAATATTAAATAAACTTATTAATAATTATAATTAAATAGATTAAAGCTTTAACTTCGTATACCAATATAGTTTAAGTAATCAATTGACGAGCTGATATTAACACCTAGCATTGGTGTTGAATCAAGCTTATAAGCGGGATAATATCCGATAAGTATTTTTTGGTTTAGTTGGTGATAAGTTGCATGAACCCTGACTCATTGACTTTTTTCAATACGAATATAAAAAAGGTGTATAGAAAAAGCACTATCAACTTATATAATGGTAAGAAACGAATCTCCATATTTATTATAATAGCATATAAACTATAGAGTTAACATAAAAAACGAATCATGAGTATATAGGATAGGATGCACAGCAAAAAAATTGGCATTAAGGTAGATAGTTACCATTCAAAAAAAAAAAAAAACTCCAATAAACGAAAATGAATATTGAAATTAGAATTGTCCTATACGTATAAATATTTAATTCTTGCCATTATCGATAATATAGTGTCGCATAGAAGTTGGATGGAATTACGATGTTAAATTGATGCACAAGGATGGGATACTTTATAGTTCAGTGTTGGCCTATGACCTTAAATGACCTATATGACCTTTATGACCTGTCATAGGTCATTTGGTCATAACGAAGATTGATATGACTTATGACCTTTTTTAATATAGTAAGAATCATAGTAAAGATTTTTTTCATTAGTATTTAATATGACCGGATGACTATGACCAAAAAGTCATATGATTATATGACCAAGGTCATATAGGAAAAAAAATGGTATGACATAGTCATCGGCCAACACTGTTATAGTTCGTGATATCTGAAAAATTTTTATTCAATTGAGATTCAAACTCCACTCTTATACATATTGTCTACTTTATAAGATATGTTACTATATGAGTGCTGCCAAATGAAAACCCGGAAATCTAAAAATAGATCACTTATGAAATTCATAAGTAATCAAATTTTGGATTTCCCGGTTTTCATTTGGCAACACTCATATGGGTGCCACCAAGTGAAAACCAGGAAGTCTAAAATAGCTTTCTTTAGACAACAGAATGCGGGCTTTTAACTGAACTGACTAGAATAATAAATTATACTGTTTTTTGATCACATATTAGTATCATTTAAAGTCCATAGTCCGTTGTCTAAAGAAGGCTATTTTTAGACTTTCTGGTTTTCACTTGGCGGCACGCATATGTTAAAGAACATATTTATAATTTTTCAAGAATCTCCAAATAGCAATTTGTTTGAAAGCGAAATATTTTCAGGGCATATACCTAGAGAAATAATTTTTAAATGAGTATTAGGGAATCAGCACGTACTTGGATTCACTTTATATGATTTTTATAAAAATGAGAGCAAACTGACATGACAGTATAATATATCGATATCTTATTAAGCATCAATGCTCTCCTCTTGCAGACTACGTTATTTTGTTACGTTGGGACTTTTGAATTGAATAGATTAGTCCACCAAAATTCAGCAAATCGGCCCGAATTTGAGGTCAGGGATGGGCCGGAGCAAAGTGGCATTAAGCAATAATACCGGCCGACTATATTATAGCAAAATTATCATTTGGGCAGCTTTACTTAGTGCATAGGCTGCCACTTTATTAGTAAAGTTTTGGGTGATTTTAGAAAAAATTAGTTAATTCCAGCCTATTCCAACCCAAATTCGGGCCGATTTGCTGAATTTTGGTGGACCCTCTAATCTACTCTTTTGAGTTGGTCCCAATATTTTAAGTTTAAAGCCCGAAGTCTTGTTTTCTTTAACATCACATTTGACAGAAATTTTATATACGTTTATATACTATACACAATATACGATATATTACTTTTATATGTTACTTGAGACAAGAACACCATCTTCGGATGGATTATTAGTAAAATTACTCATTCTTTATGATGATATATTTCTTATAAATTTGTTAAAAAGACATGGTCTCACCATTAATATTCAAAAAAAAATAAAATAAATTTGTTAAAAAATATAATTTTGAAGTTGTGAAATAGATCGTTAATGAAACGCATCACTCTTGGTTATGGATTATTCCATTGTTGTGAAGTAAAATTAAAAGAAAATATTTATATACATAAAGGGATTCTACCAGCCTACCTTCCTATAATAAAATGGGCTGCTGTCAATAGAAATCAAGTAAATCTACATTTGAAAAAAAATTAATACATTAAATTTCGCAGCTCATATCTCGATGAATTTTAAAGGTATCTTGATGATTTAATATTTAAAAGAAAGCTTACAATCTGAGCTTTCTTTTGAATATTAAATCATCAAAATGCTCTTAAAATTCATCAAGATATGAGCTGTGAAATTTATGTTATTAATTTTTTTTCAAATGTAGATTTGCTTGATTTCTATTGACGGCAGCCCAAATAGTTTTCCAAGAATTATTCTTTATTCATAACATTTATCTCTAACCATTTAAAGGATTAATGTTTATCTTTGTTAGAAAGAAAGTGACCCCCCGCTTCGCTCTGAGCAATAATTTTAGGAGCTCAGGAATTTTATAGCCTTTCATTATCATTATCATTGTTTTTTGCAAAAAATTCTGGAGTCGACCGAAAAAAATAAACTATAGCCACAACGCATGTAAAAGTGGATAACAGATTTAGAAATGCTAGATAATATAATGTACACGTGAATAGAGATGGTGAAAATAATTTCACCAAATTTCATAGATTCAACACATTTTTTTAATTCACTAGCATCTTTACACATAAAGGTTTCTGAATCTTGCCTGCAAGGTTGATGATATTCTACAACTATAAGAATGTTTACATAATAGTCATCGTAGCAAAATACAGGTTTATTGGATTCGTATTACAAAAGCATACATGGAGAACCTATGGTTCTGGAGAAAAAAAATTCGCTATATAAGTTTACTGTATTAAGAACATATTACATTTCTATACCGAATATAATGAACTAATATAAAGTTTAAAAATTTACAGTTCGTATATCTAGAGTTCGTTATTGAAATGATTAATTATAAAAGGGTTTGGTCTCATACGTAACCAATCTCATGTTGAGCACTTATTTAATAGTATAAACCTTCTTAAAGTATGCATATTCTCACCATATTAATAATTAGAAAGCTTTATGATTTGTATCTGAGTAAATTCGATTATTTATATCTGGACGAACCTGACGATTTATATCAGAATAAACCTGAGGATTTGTATCAGAGCAGGCCTGATTATTTGTATTTATAAGTTGATTAGGCATTTTTGTTCTATGCCTTCTTCGATACAATATGATGCCAACAGTTACTAATGCGCCGACAAAAATAATGGAACCTATCACACCACCCACTATTGCACTTGTATTGGGCGGAGATGTAGATGATGAGGTGCCTGTAGTTCCATTTCCTCCAGTCTTATTTGGTGGAATTCCCGAAATAAAGTTCGTCAATTGTAAATCTTTCGAATCTTTGGTGATGTCTGCAATCGCAATTCCTGCTAAATTATTATTCTTTATATAGCATTTAACGATTGATAATCTTCATAGAAAGTAACATAGTATTTTGAAGACGAGTTTTGTTGGTAAAGGTATGGTTGTTTCGCATTGCTAACAAAGCCGTGAGTCCATGGTTGCGATGAAATTAAATTCGTAGGACAAGATGGTGATAAAAATAAACTACTTAAATTTTCCCATGACAAATATGCATATGATATGATGAATATTTACACGAATCTAAAATCTGTTCGTTAGCAAAAGGGAACTGAAAATTTGGGTCATTTACTAGTTGAAGATTTTGATTCTCAATGTGCGATTTAATATTATTATCGTCAGAAACAATTTCAACAATTCCACCAAATTCAACGCCTAAAACGAGTTTTGAATGATCTATAAAATTCCAACTATTTAAAATTTGCGAGATTCTGTCTATTCCAGCACTTGCATAAGTGTTATTTATATTAAGACGAAATGCCTAAAAGTTCATAAACAGATAAATAAATATTTATAACATCACTTTTACGTAAAAAAAAGTAAAAATTACCTGAACATTTACAAAATCAATGTAACTAGAGTAATCAGTGAAGTCACGGGTGAGATTTACAGGATATTGGCCTGCTGTAATCGTTAACTTCTTATCGCTTAATTGTAATTTTATGCTACGTAGGAAACTTAAAAAAACATCACCAAATCCGGACGGATCGCATGGAAATTTATAAGGATAATCAATATCAATCTACAATATATAGAAAGTAATTGATTAATTGTTTAATAAATGGATGCCGCCAAGGGAAAATCAGAATCCTTGATTTTTTCGGATGTTTCATTTCACAAGACACGGGCTTACCGGACTTTGAAAAATATTAAGCATCAATATTAATATGACGAAATAATGTAACAATATACAGCATTATTCTTCGGAGCTAATAAGCCATATTCCGTTAAGTGTTAAATCCGAAATTCAAGAATTATTTGTTTTCATTGGCGGCACCCAAATAATCACATTGACAATATAAAACAAAAAAAATTAGTTAATCTTACTCCGTCAAAACCATTAGTAGTAACAATACTAACTAATTCATTAAGAAATTTAATATTTTGAGTGCTATTCGGATGGTATACCAAATTATTCATATTAAAGAAACTAAGTAAATTATTCCTATCAGTAGGTAGCAAGACTGATAGAATTATCTATAACATAGCACTATTACTATTATATAACGTTATTAAGTCTTTAATGTAGATTTAATATTTGTTACCTACCTTAAATTTTAGATTATTTCTTGTCTTATAATCTTTCAATTGACTAAACTTAGAAGATTGACTGAAAAAAAATGCAGATGGGTCACCACCAGAAAAATTATTTCTGCCATTATTAACAAGATCATTTGGACCAAATGCTGTATAAATAATAATTTATTAAACTTAATTGTAATTAAATAGATTTAAACTTTTAATTTCGCATACCAATAAAGTTTAAATAATTAATTGATGGGCTGATATCAAAGTCTACTCCTGGTGTTAAATTATTAAGTTTATAAGCTGGATAATATCCGACAAGTATTTTTGGTTTAGTTGGTGATGGGTGACATGAATCCTGACTTAACACCTTTTTTATCGACACAAATATAAAAAAGGTATATAAAAAAAGTAACATGAACTTATAGAAGGATGAAAATGATCGAATTTTCATGTTTGTTATAATGGCATAAAAATTTTTAAGAACAGAGTTAACATAAAGAATAAAACATTTAGCTATTAGATGTTTTTCTTAAGAAAAAACCTCTAAAAAAAGGCACAAATGATCATAGATTGTCCCATATAAATATTTATTTCTTTTGCTCTTTGCCGGTATGCAATGTCAATAGGAATGAGGCTCGAAATTTATATTTAGTACGACCTTTATCCTGACATTAGTGTTACAATGAGAGATGTTGGTGAAGTTAATTTCACCAAATTTAAACTCAACAATTTCACCAATATCACCAATAGTGGTGAAATTATCTTTAGTGTTAGTTACAATCTTTACCATAATTAGGTACGTACGATTGCGGTGGCCAAAAATAAACCGCGACTTCGCCACAGGAGCATAGAATAACGATAAGATTTTTTTTTTACAGTAAAGTATTTAGATTTGCGATCAGTGTAGGATATTAAACCGTTAAAAACTACCTATATCAGTTACAAACTAGCAGTTAACTACATAAGCTAGTTTTAACTAGTTATACAAAACTGGTTATAAAATTTATATAAACGGTTATTAAAAACTAGTTAAATTTAAGTTAGATTAAAACAATTAAATATATACATTATATAATATGTATATATATATCTAGTTTATAAATTATATAATACTACGTAGGTGTTGTTAAACAACGGGTAGTGTAATACAAAATCATGTGATGCTAGACGGATCGAACATCTAAATTTTTATAATATACTAGATACTGGACCCGTCGTTAAACGACGGGTTTATTGAAATATATTAACGTTAGTATTTTAATAATTAATATAAAACATATCTCTAACTTATTGCGCTTGGTTTCGTTATGTTAATTGTATAAAAATTCTTAAGCGCATGTTCAATTTTACATACTGATCATTAAACATAAAAAATGCAACATACAAAAAACTACGCACTTCTTGAATGTGAGCCAGGTTTGTGTTGCAACAAAAATTCTTTAAAGATCGTTTATGTTAAAGTTAGAGTTAGGGTTATGGGTTAGAAGAAGGTAGATTATTTAGTATAATTGCTAACAAAAACTTTTTATTAGAGCACTAAAAGTGATTTCTTATGTAGAATTTCGAGAAATAAGCGATTTTTGACAGAACGAACGTTTGGTTTGAATTTTCTTGATTGTGTTATATTGCACCTGATTTCGGAATCTGATTCGTAGTTCAGTAACTCTGCGTCACACACCTGGCACACATTCAAGAGGTGCAATCAACATATTTACCAAATTAAAAGTTGCGTCTGATTAAAAATGAAAAATTGCGTCAGAATAAACCTTTCGTCATATTAAAGCTTTGTGTCAGATTGTCAAATTAATTTACAGTATTGAATAGTTGTATAGTCATTTTTAAGTAAATTTCGATAACAGAAGTATAAAATATGTAATTAGTCTATGCAAATCTTCTATTTACAGTTCTATTTTTTATGAAGGAGAATTTACTAATTTTTGTAAATAAATTTAAGTTTTGCATAGGAAAGTACTCCAGAATATTTTAAATGCCCTTTATATTTCAAATGTTAGTACATCTGTATGTATGTACAATCATATAGAACACGTGACTGGTTATTCGAAAAAAAATTTGCTAACACTAAACGGTTTACTTGTTTTCCACCATAACACAAACATAAAATAATAAATATTCTAGTTGCAGTAAATTCGCTTTAACATTAGAATCAAAATAAAGATTATAGAATTAGAAAGAACAGATATGATTTAAAATTTTGTAAAGTTTTTTTGTTAGAACATAAAAGGCAGTTATTTAGGCAAAATTTCGAGTTATTCTTTCAAAAAAACCCAGATTTACATGTGAACTTGTATACAGTAAAAAACTTTTCTTTTTGGTTTGTGCACAGTGGGAAACTTGGACGCATATGTATGTATGTGTTATATTTTAGATAGCCTTTCCATAAAAAAATTGGTCATCTCCATTATTTTTGAGCAATCGAATTTAAGATCAGGTGTTAAAATAAACGTGTTTTGTTTTCTAAAAAAGTTATGTGTAAAATGAAAACCAAGAAAACCGTGTTATAGTTAGGGTTAGGATTAGAACAATATAGCGCATATTAGTAAAACATCACAGGGAACATTTTTAATTAGGCTGCAGAAGGTGGTTTATAATTAAAAATTTAGTAAAAAAGTGGTTTGTTTCGATTTTTACGCTACACCTGCTCCTGAAATTCGATTGGTCAAAATTACAGGGGTGTCGATCATGTAGATCACGCTAAATTTTCAAATGATAGATTAGATCTCAACGATTTGCATAGGAATGATTGGCACCAAATAAAAATTTGTATTACTAGAGTTTAATATTTAAGTTACATTTTTATGGTTGGAATACCAACATAGTTCTTTTTCACGTTTGGATGTTATAGGTAAATAACTTATTTTAATGATGTTCTTTTTGAAAAGTCGTATGCTTAATTTATATTACCATTACCGTATTACTTTACTATATGCTCATATTTTAGCCTTTTGAGGACATAAATAATTAATATGCGATACACTAAACATGTCAAATTGGTTTAAAGTTGCTGTCGAACAAAAATACATTACATCATTTGAGTATGATTCTTTTCAGAATTGGGAAGAAATAGGTAGAGGAGGGTCTAGTATTATATATAGTGCTTATTCAAGAAATATTGAAAAAATTATAGCTTTAAAGAGTTTATATTGCGATGAGAATGTTTCGTTAAATACCTTTATTAAAGAAGTATTTAAATTTATATTATCATTTATGTTCTTATTAATGTCTTATTTACGTATTTACTGGTTTATTATTACACCTTATAATTCACTATAAGATTAAAAATATTACTAGAGTTGCACATCATGATAATATAGTACGATTTTTTGGAATCACACAAGGTATATTAAATTTTATATTATATAAAATAGACACTATTATCTAACTAATTATTTCGAGTAAATTAGATCCGAAAAAAAAAGCATACTATATGGTTATTCAGTTCGCTAATAACAGCGACCTTCGCTCCTATTTACGTAATCATTTCTCAGAGTTAGATTGGACAACTAAAATCAGAATGGCAAAAGAAATTTCTAGTGGGGTTAATTGTTTGCACAATGCAAATATTGTTCATCGTGATCTTGTAAGATATCTTTTCCATTGAATTTATTTCCCGCCTTTTTACTATATGCGTATTAAATTATTGTTACAGCATGATAGGAATATATTAGTACATGATGGTAGATTAATGATTACGGATTTTGGATTATCTAAATCATTGGATAATAACACAAAATCTATTGATGGAGGAGTATGTGCTTTTTCCGATCCACAATATCTCCAAAATCTATTTTTATATAAACGAGATAAACACTCTGATATCTATAGTCTCGGTGTACTTTTTTGGGAGTTATCAAGTGGCGTACCTCCTTTTAAAAACATGTCTGAACAAAGAGAAATAGCCTTACATGTAATTAATGGTAATAGAGAAACGCCTATTAACGGAACACCGGTTGACTTTATGAATATTTATTGCGATGCTTGGAACGGTGATCCAAATTTACGTCCTAATATAGATGAAGTCCGTTATAAATTAAATCATATACGAATGTTTCCAGTTTATCATAGTGAAAAAGATAACGATAATATAGGAATTTCAAGTGATCATGAGGATTTTAAATCACCTAAACTAAATAATGTCGGCAATATTAATCAAGATATAAATTTAATAGGTTTATTATGTTTAATAATTAATTATTAGAATCAAAAAAATTCTAAACTTTATTTTTTTATTAATAATAACTTATTTACTTTTAATAGAACAACAATTTAATCAATTGCAAGTCGTTAATCAAGATTATTCAAATGTTAATTCAGAAAATTATATTACTGTGAGTAAGCACAAGGAGGATCCGTTTGTAGGATTAAATAAATTATTAGAGGTTAATCCAAATAATGCAGATGCATTAAGAAATCGTGGAATAGAATACTATAAATTAAAAAGTCATAGAGATTCATTAGCAGATTTAAATAAATCATTAGAAATCAATCCAAATGATGCGAAAGCATTAAGTTATCGTGGAAGAATTTATTGCATGATGAATAAATATGAAGAATCACTAGCAGATTTAAATAAATCACTAGAAATTATTCCAAATGATGCATTTGCATTAGCGAGTCGTGGAGCAACTTATCGCATGATGAGCAAATACGAAAAATCACTAGCAGATGTAAATAAATCATTAGAAATTAATCAAAATGATGCATTTGCATTAAGACAGCGTGGAGAAACTTATCGCATGATGAACAGATACGAAGAATCACTAGCAGATTTAAATAAATCATTAGTAATTAATCCAAATAATGCAGATGTATTAGCAAGCCGTGGAGACACTTATCGCATGATGAACAGATACGAAGAATCACTAGCAGATTTC